TGATCACACTGGTTCCTTGTCTCATGCAATGCTACAAATGAGACCAGTTTCATAACACTTCACCCATTGAAAAAGTATACAAAAATTAAAAGGCACATATTTCCAGACTAGGTGCGTCTATGGTTGCCTGGCTTACTCAGGCCCAGCAGATGTTGACCACCCAACTTCTGCCTTGCATGTTCCATACTGGACTGGTTGGAGAAGCTGAGAAAGATGGAGCAGTGGTCTGGCTCATGGCCTGTCTTGCTACCATACGAAGGTCGACAGATCTGTATCTCTTCGCAATCAGGGATACCCTGATTCTGAAGGCACCACCTGATCTCCTCAGATGTTTGCCATTAAGCAAAATTGTTTCCAAATAACACAACATACTTAATATCAATATCAACCATACTATTTGGCAGGGGTTATGATGAAAAGCTTTCAAAAGTCACCCAAGCTTCATATTTCTTGCAGTTGTAGTCCACATTTTTGACATACAGTCTATTCGACATGGCTCACAAAAAGTAAAGGACAGGTGAGCCAAGGCCTCTTCATAGGTTTGAGGTTTGAAGTGCGTCAAGCCTGTCTCTCATTGACCTTGTTGAGCATACATGCGCTATGTTGCCTGAGGTGAGCTGCCTCAGTTACATAATTAGTGTGTCAGGCAGTGTTTGTATATGTATTGCTGGACATTCTTTCCCAACCCCCATGCCTGAACCAAGAAAACACACATTGCATAGTCTTGAGTACAGTGTTCACTCCCCTCACAAGAATAAACAGTTCTACCTTCTCTAGAAAAAGTATTCCATACTCAAGTATAAAGTCTCCAATGCTCAAGTAAAGTCTCCAATGCTCAAGTAAAGTCTGCCATGCTCAAGCAAAGTGTGCCATGCTCAAGTAAACTCTGCCATGCTCAAGTAAAGTGCGCCATGCTCAAGTAAAGTGTGCCATGCTCAAGTAAAGTGTGCCATGCTCAAGTAAAGTGTGGCATGCTCAAGTAAAGTGTGACATGCTCAAGTAAAGTGTGACATGCTCAAGTAAAGTCTGCCATGCCAAAGTCTGCCAAGTAAAGTCTACCTGAGGCCTCAAGTTATCATGGTCAAGCAAAGTCTGCTATGCTGACAAAAAACTCTAACAAAAACAAGAGCAACTTCTTTTCTTCACCATCTAAGGTGTCTAGCTAGACATCCCCAGGCTTTGCCATGCAAAGCTACCAAAGCTACAGCTACTAAAGGTCAAGAGCAAAAGCGGCTCACTCTACACTGGAGGCTTCGATCATGGCAGGGAAGGGGTTCTCCTCACAGTCTTTGGGAACAAACCTCCTCCTCTTCAGCTCAGGCAAAGGCATTTGTGCCAGAAGCTGGGCCCTCTTGGTCGAAGTCATCCATGCCTTGGAGGCATCAGATCGAGTCACCTTTTTGCCCATATTGGACATGCTCTCCATGTACTGCTTGATGAAAAAGGAGCGGATCTCTGCCATTTTGCCTGCCTCATATTGGCTTTCCTCCTGGATGTGGGTGCCCTTCTTCTCCTTTGGCTTTTGTGATGGCTTAATGCTTTTGGGCTCAGCATCACTCTGTCTTTTCTGGCCACTGTTCTTCACTGACTTCTTCTCATTTGCCTTCTTCTTTTCTTTCACCACCATGGTGGGCTGATACGACATGGCCTTGGACAGGAGGGAAGATTCAACCGGTTTGCTCTTGGATCCCTGACTTTTGGGCTTCTGGTGTGCTGGTGCCATTGGTGCACTGGTGCCCTGACTTTTGGGCTTTTGGTGTGCTGGTGCCATTGGTGCACTGGTGCCACTGGAAGCTGGTGCTTCTGGCTTTGGCTTCTGCCCCAGAATCCTCTGGAAGATTGCAGGGAAAGGGCTCAAGTAATACGGCTGGGACTTCTTCTCTATTTTGGGCTTGGGTGGTTGGTAGGGCACAATGGCCAAAGACTCAGGAGAAGGAGCAGGGCTGCTCTCCATGGAAACGATGGCTGCTGATGATTTCTCATCATCATCCACATACTCCATGCCCATCATCTCTGCTGGCAAGACAACCCTCTCCAGCACCAAGTCGATCTTCACCTGATCCTGCTTGGACAGCATCCTGAACACTTTAGTTTTCAAGCCAGGGCTGAGCTTGAGGCTTCGCAGCATGGACAACAAAATCCTCAAGGTAAGGCCGCACTGGTCAATCATATCCTCAGTGGTATGGCCTTTGGGCATTGAAGAAAACTCTAAGTCCCTGTTTGTATTCATTGCCCTGAGGGTCGCACTCAACTTGGTAGGAGTGAGCTTTGTGTTTGGACACACTTTCACCAAGTCAAAAAGCAAACCGGCAACTTTGGACAACCACTCTCCATGAGGAGCTGTGTGCCATCCATAGGACATAGGGCCAGTGGGGGGTGGGCAGATCAAACTCCATAGATCCTTCTTCTGCTTGAACTGCAAGAACCCTGTGAGGGCACCTTGGATTGCAGTCACTGGGATGCTGGGGTCAGCCACCAATCGAAACCTCCCACTTTGCTTCAATGACCTCTCCTCTACAGCAGCTTGCATCTTTACCTGTGCAGCTGCTTCCAAAGCAGCCATGGTCACAAACCAAATAGAGCTAACAGCAACTCACAGAGCCAAAAGATCTCTCACATAAAACATGCACCCTCACACTGGCAAAAACCATCAGAGAATCATATCCTCAAGTAAATTTACTCCCTCAAGTAGACACCCTCAAGTAAAAATGGTTTGTTCAAGTCAAGAAGGGTACACATGCTCAAGTAAATGCAATCCCTTCAAGTAAAGGCAAAGTCCACACCTCCTGGCATGCTCAGTCAACAAAAACAAAAATCCATAGCGCAAATATCCTCAAGTACATGTTGTCCTGTAGAAAACCTGCCTCTTTGGAGAAAGCCAACTCACATAAATTGAGACATTTTCTGCTTCAAAATCATGCTCACACAAATTTACTCATAACCTAAAAAAATTTACTAATGACCTAAATTGGATTTACTAATAACCTAAATAGGATTTACTCATGACCTAAATTGGATTTACTTCTCAATTTACGTAAATTTTTACGTAAATTTTCCTTAGTAAAACCAAAAATTTACGTAAATTTTATGGTTAGTAAAATTACTAATTTGGGTGACTTAGGGTAATGCAGTTGTATCCTGTATTCTTGAAATTGCATCCATTCAGTGCCCCGAAGTTGTCGCACGTACCTACGCCGACGATGTCTCCGCATCTTGTGTTTCTTCCACGACTGCGGACCTCACTCGTAGCATCGCTAAGTTTGATCGCATTGTTCGTGCTTTGGAAGAAATCCGATTCGGTGAAATTGCCACTAAGAAGAGCTTTACCTTTGGACACCCTTGCTTGAAACGCAAAATACATGTTGATTTTCCGCATTTGCAACGTTTTAAAATTGTGGGCGGCTCCTTTGTTACAGAACACCAGCAAGCGAACGCCTCCGAGGTTGAAAAAGGTAGATTTGCAAAATGGCATAAAACCGTAATACGGATGCGACATTGTCCTCTCCCCTGGCGGGACAAGTCCAAGATGCTCCTTGCCACGTCCTCCCAAGCCACTTATGGCCAGGGCACTCATTCTTGTGGTATAGATGAACCGACCCTGACCCGTATCAGATCTAGCATCATGCGGGCAATGTTCTCGCTTGATTTTTACTCGCACAACACTCATTTGTCTTTTGCCATTCTGTTGCCAGCGCAACTTGATCCATTGTTCAGTCACACCTATCAAGGACTTCGAACCTTAGCGCGCTGTTTAAATAATCCTACTTTTCGCCGGGACTTTCAACATTTGCTTCGTGCTAAGTCAAGCCGGAATTTCGACGGTCCAGTCAGTCGAGTACAGCGGATATTGAAAGGACCTTTCCAAGCACTCGTGAAGCAACTGATAAATGACCAAGTCCTTAATATTGAGCTATGGGCACATCAATTACGTGACTGTTGGAGGGCCGAACTTTTGCAAAAAGCCGCCAAAAATAGGCCCCAGCACTTTCACGATGTGACTAATCTCGACTTTAGAAGGACCCTTCTATTGTATAAAAAATTAGATCACCTTGCCCTAATGACCGCCGACGAGCAAATCTTCATGCAGCAGGGGGTGCTGAGGCGCCTGCTAGTTGGGGGTCTCATGACCGAGGAACGGGATGCACGGCATCGAAAAGATTTGCAACCCGTTCAATGTCCTTGCGGTGGTGACCCGACAGTACTACACATCTCATGGTCCTGCCCCCTTTTTGCCGACCTGCGTAAACCTATTCAACACATTGACTTTCGCACTTTGCCTACCTGTACTCAATACGCTGCCCTCATCCCCCAACACCTTAACATGCCCGACCAACAAGTCTTAATCCTGCAACAAACTCTGGTTAACATTTGGCGACAGTATATCCAAGACTTCAAATCCGGCCAACGCAGTGAAACTGCGCGAACTGCACAATCTTCTGAAGCTGCGCCGATCGACCAGAATGGTCATGTCCTTAAGCCTCGCCCAAATAACCAGCCTGGTGTGTTTTGCTGTAAATGTGGTAAGTTTGTGGCTAGATCCAAGCATATACGTCTAAAAATCACAAGTCAGCCATGCGCTCAGCGGGATTCCCCCATAATCTTGGAGAAGGAAGGGTTCAACCAAAGTGAAAAGCGCTTAGACGATGCTTTCCAAAAACTCCTTACGGACTACAACGCCACTAGTAAACATACATTAGAGTGGAATCGCAAACTTGGTAAGGTTGTTGGCCGAGAAGATGAAGGGAAGATCAATTGCACTGCATGCGGACACACATGGCCATGGAAGGATCGTAACAACATCCGACGCACTATTTGCAGACAAACACCCCAAACTAGACCTTCTAAGCCAATAAGCCCTGCCCCTAGTGCTCAGAAACCATTGCTGCGCTTGAGATGCAAGACCAGGCCATCCGAAATGGCCAAACCACCATCATTGGATTATATTATACCCGTACATGAAAATGCCAGTGCATCTTCATCCACCGACGCCCGACCATCAGGACATCCCAACGACGATGTTGTGCGGCGGAAGGGTGTTGGTTGAGCACGCCCCGAATGGAGCTTGTGTGCTTTCGAGGGCACTTGCTCCACCAAGCCCCAACTTCTGGGATCCTGCTGGCTTCACTGCCGATGGCAGCGTTGAGAACTTCCAGCGACGTCGTCAGACCGAGCTGAAGCACGGCCGCATCTCCATGTTGGCCACAATGGGATACATTACCCCTGAGCTGCTCGTCTGCAACCATTTTTTTGGCACTATGATAGCATTCTACTTTAGCAGCCAGCATCAAGCAAGATACATCCAATAACATTGAAAGATGACGTTTGCTTAAATCGTTTGTGTTGTTGTGCAATGATATTGCATGATGTATCATTTGATATCATATATCATTTGTGCGTATGCTTTTGGCTTTAAACGCAGAGAGCGACGATAGAATGGAGTCTGGGTATTTATAGCCGCCTTTGTCCTTGATGAGAGTTGTCGTACTATGTCGTGTTGAAGTTGTTTTGAGCATTGGATGGACCCAGGATCACTGGAAAGTTGCCAGGATATCTTTCTCCATCAGCCGGCC